GGTGGTAGGACCGGGATCCACTGTCTGCAGTCGGAAAAAGACGCTAAAAAAAAAGTAGTAGTAGTAGTAGTAGTAGTAGTAGTAGTAGTAGTACTAGTACTAGTACTAGTACTAGTACTAGTACTAGAACTAGTACTACTAGTACTGGTACTAGTACTAGTACTAGTACTAGTACTAGTACCAGTACTAGTAGTAGTAGTAGTAGTAGTAGTAGCGGTAGTAGTAGTGGTGGTAGTCGTAGTAGTAGTAGTAGTTGCAGTAGTTGCAGTAGCGGTAGTAGCAGTTGCAGTAGTTGCAGTAGCGGTAGTAGCAGTAGTGGTAGGAGGAAGTAGTGGTGCATAGCAGTGGGAGTGGGCTTGGAATTGTTGCTGCTAGTGCTAGTGCTAGTGCCAGTGCGAGTCCTCGTGCTAGCCGTAGCAGTCGGAGAAGCAGCGGAAGTGCATGTTGTTTCGATGCTGCTGCTGACGGCGGTTAGAACGACGAGGGGAACGATGATCGCCGTGATCCTGTTGCAGATCATGATGATGATGAAGAAGAAGAAGAAGATGATGATGATGATGATGATGATGCCGATGGTGGTGGTGATCTCCCATGACGAAGACGATGAAATTGTGTGCTGCTATTGCTGTGACCGTCGCAGACGGCGATGTGTGCGTGTATGTCTCTGTGTGTATCGATGTTGTTGATGCTGCAGATGACAGTTGTGTGCATTGTGTTGTTGACGCTGGGATGATGGTGTAGAGAGCCGCCATTCCGACTCTGACTATGATGTTCTCAGTCTGTGTCGTGATGCAGATGTGCTGGCTGATTGTGCTTATCGTGGTGCTGGCGATACGGTTGCTAAAGTTTCGATGATGCAGTCGCTTTGGACTTTTCGCTAACTCTGTGCATCGTGTGAACTATTGAGGCGAGGAGTAACAGCCGTCATTCGTGCCGCAGGTGCCATCGAAGATGACGGCTCCCTAACTCTTGTCGGCATGGCCAGCGACCATGCGACGATTCATCGCGTGCCACTTGGCGAAGCCATTGTATGCTCCAGGTCATTGAGGAAAAGTTACATAGCGAATCATCCAGTCTGCAGCTTAGGTGTGCTGAGGTAGTAGGATTCTTCGAGCTTCTCGTTGTGCACCCCGATCTGCATCCCTCCATCCTGAAGCATGCTTTGACAGGATTGGCAACGTGCGTGAGCTGTTGCGCACCGGTGGTGGCCCCGGTCACATCTGCGCAGGGCCTGTGTGCGATAATAATGATTGCGCAGAGTCTGACAAGAACAACTTTACACTAGAGACAATATCAAGCATCCTCATTGGCATACCCCAAAGTACCAAATGCTGAAGCCGATGTTTAGGGATTCGGGTGTTCTTGTTCCGCGCATGCTTACGGGACTGTAGAAATATATGGATAAAAACAGCAAGAAGGCTAAGACTATGATGCGAAACCGGGGCCTAAACCCTAAGACCCTCGACTAAAGCCCGTAAGCTCGAAACCCTTCGCTTTCTTCTGAGCCAGAATGGTCTGGGGTTTGGGGTCAAACGAATACTCAAGCAACACAAACCATAGCTACAACTTCGCATCCCTATCTCGGAATTGTAAGGGTTTCAGGAGGACCCTTAATAGGGACCCTTGTAGGTTATTGGGGTTAATATGGAGACTACCTGGCTACATAAGGGGTACATAAGGACTACACAATGGTTATTTAAGGTAATGGGATTAAGGGTCCGTAGTAGGGGTCCCTAAACCCTAAACCCTAAACCCCCCTAAAGTCCTTAGAGGAATTCGGAATCGGGAACGTCTGCATGAGGTGTCTGGGGCTCGGTTCGTCGTAAGGTTTCCAATTCAGAGCAACCCCAAACTCTAAAACCCCGAGCCGTACACCCTAAACCCTTCAAAGCCTAAGCCTTATATAAACCCTAAAGCCCTAAATCCTAAAACCTTATAAGCCCTAAACCCTAAACCCGAAAATCTAAATCCCTAAACCCAATTCAGACCGGACTGTAGACCTTTCCCGATGTCATTCTTGTTGGGCTCAGTGCTGATGTCATACCGGAAAACTCCATAAATTGAGGAATGGGCCGTGAGTCACATTAGGGATCCTACTGCGTTTTGAGGAATATACCGTAAATCAGATACGGGATCCCTAAACCCTAAACCCTAAACCCTAAAGGTAATACCTGAAATTAGGGATATCGGGGAAGACTAGGAAACTCGTCAAAGTGCCGATCGTAGCCCTTTGTTTAACTATACTTGGTGCCTTGAACCCTAAAAACACAGGTTTAGGGTTTAGGGTCCAAAACCTCAAACCCCAAGCTTTGAACCCCAAAAACACCAAAACCTCACACACCAAGCCCTGAACCCTCAACCGCAAACCTTAAATCCCTAAAGACTCCAGACCCTTTGGAAGCAGCCCGGAACCCTCAGAGGTAACCCTGAAAGGAAGAATGACAGAAGCCATGAGAACACGATAGAACACCCCAAGTACCCTTGAAAAGCTTTTCTGGTCCTAACTAGATGGGTATAATAGAGGGTAGTTGGGGATCTTGGACTATGGAACCCTTGAGTATTCACCCAAGCTCCCCCGAAACAGCTCACTTAGAGGTAGCGAAGCGCTGGCGTTGTTGGGCTCCGTGGTGGCGCCCACCGGCGGACGCCGGGCGATCGGCGAGGAGGCAAACTGCTTGACCACGTTAGGGATTAGGATATCGGATTTAATGAGGGTCTTGCCCATAGCCTCAATTGTGGTTCCTCTTGGGGGTTACCAACCAGGATCCGTAATATACAACAAACTCAAAACGGAACTACACTGGATACTATATAGGTAAGTTTGGGGCTTAGTGTACAGTGGTTGATCTTCCGAGCGCTTGATTTGTAACCTGTGTACTTGCCCGTATTATTTCAATATTCTACATCGGGGTGCCTTTGTCGAGTCCACTCATATACCAAGTGCCCGGGACCTGAAACCGAAACCGCATATCCAAAATCGGAAACCCGGAACCCGAAACCGAGCACTCTAAACACCAACCCTGATTGAGAGAACTGCCCACTTAAGAATCAGAGCTTTGTGAGTGACTTGCTCAGACTCTTCCACAGTTGCTGGGTTCAGAACATCCGAACTTCTTCCGCCCTAAGCCCTAAACCCTAAACTAGGGTTTAGGGTTTAGGGCTTAGAAGGGTCTTCAGATTTTGAGCTGAGGGTCTACGGTATCAAAGATTCATGTGGTCCGGCACTCAGGGTGAAGGGTTTAGGGGTTTGGGGTTTTAGGGTTTAGGGTTTAGGGATTTCCTGAAGCGCAACTAGCGCTGCGAGTGCCTAGTAAGCCGTTAGGAGTTAGATTGGAGGTGTTATGAGTTCAGTAGAGGGTTTTGGGTAAGATCTAGGACATTGTCAGGTGGGTAGTTACCGTTATAGGAGCCTTATAGAAGGTCTCTATACCTTATGGAAGCCTTATAGAAGCCCCATATACCCTAAACTCCCCACCTGAACCCTGAACCCTAAACCCTAAACCCTTAAACCCTAATCAGCAGCTTAGAGCAGCCAAGAAGTTTCCTTTCACTGACGGCGGCGCCTCGCCGTTGTCTCCAAGGACACTTCGTCGAGCAAAGGGGCTAGGGTTTTCTAGGGCAAAAAAACCCTAAACTCTAAAATCCTAAGCCCTAAAACCCTAAAGCCCTAAAGCCCTATAAACCCTATGTTATAAGCCCTAAACCCTAATCAAGTACATGAGGAAAAATCGGGGCCTACGGCACGAGACGCCACTCTTTAATCAGGAAGGGACGAGCTTGAGACGTTCCCTTTGGAGTCGATACCAACGCATTCGAAGCAATCGGTGGGCCTGAATATTCTAAGGTTGAACCCATGGGCCCTCAACATGGGCGCCTAGGGCATTCTAGGGTCCCTTAAGGGTATATATAGGGTATATAGTAGGTATATAAGGGTCCCAGGGTTAAGGGCCCATACTAGGGGCCCATGGATTCTACCTTAGAAATATGTTACGAGTAGCAACCGTTTAGGGTTTAGGGTTTAGGTTTCCTTACCGCTGCCTATGATAGTTTACAATACTATGAAGACACCCCCCCCCTCCCTGTGCCCACCCCAAAATAACACTAGTCGAGTATTTCCGCAAATTACCCTGAGGCCCTATGGTGCTTATGTACCCGTATAGTGTACGCCTTGAGTTTGACCTTTGGGTATGTACCTAGCTAAACACCAGATGCTAAGCCCTAAACCCAAACCCCTAACAAGAAGCGGAGAGGCCCGGATATGGCTGAAGCTTGCGAAGCAAGCCGAGCAAAAGGTCCGAGGTGCGCTCCCACCGGTAGTTTTGTGGGGGGGACAATCAAGGTTCCCTAGAAGGATTTCGCTCACGGGCTCTGCAAGAACGGGGATGTGTTTGCGGGTTGTGTGGTATAGGGGCCTAAATAATTACCTATACTATGTTGGGGGTTCCTTATTGTAGCTATAGTATAATGGACCCCCAAACCCTATTCTAATTCTTAAGGCCCCTACATTGTGTGTGTGTGTGTGTGTCTGTGTGTGTTTGTCTCTGTATGGGTTTTTTTCGGCAGGTGGACAGGGGTGTGAGCGGCCACCCGGATCCCAAAAAGCATGGCCCTTTCTAGGTATTGGGGCATTCTTTTACCTACCTTTTCTAGCTCCTTTCGCACGCGCTTCATGTTTTCCGCGTTTCATTTCCACGATCGCGTTTCATAAAGCAAATAAAACCGCGTTAGTTTTGGAACATGGGGAATTTCCATGTTCTTGCTTACTTCTATCTCCTTTTGCGCGCGCTTCATTTCATTTCCACGATCGCGTTTTATAAAGCGAAATGGAACCGCATTAGCTTTGGAACATTGGACAAGCCCGCTTAGAACCTTGGGGTGGTTTAGGTACACTCTCAGACCCTAAACCCTAAACCCTAAACCCTAAGCTCTTAAACCCGTCATCCTCACCCCATGCTTCCCAGACCGCCGGGAGGATCTAGAATGTGGTTCCCTTAAGGAGGTGCCTATGAAGTGCCCCTTAGCAGCACAAGGTCCCAAATTAGGGGATCTACTTTTTAGATCTTCCGGGGGCCCTAAAAACCCTAAGCCCTAAACCCTAGCCCTAAACACTAAACCCTAAACCCTAAACCCCGAACCCAGAAACCATAAACCGAGAAGCTACCTCAGCTACCTGCTGTGCTGGAGGAACCCAGACCTCCATCTACCCGTCTATTCGACCCTAGCCACCTACCTTAACCTACCAGAACCTGCTTTCTAGCTCCACAAAATAGTACAGTAACCTTGTAAGAAGGGACCCTATAACTTTCAACGGTGCCTGAGAAATACCCCCATACGAAGGCGCGCTGGAGGATCTCCAGAAGAACGTGGCAGCTGGGCTGGCAGAAGCTTCGGTTTTGGGGCTTAGGGCTATAGTATAGTACCCTAAACCCTAAACCCTAAACCCTAAACCCTAAACCCTAAACCCCAGACCCTAAACCCTAGTCGGAAGAACTAATTACCAATATTATATAGTAGTTTTCAGGGTTTCTTATAGTAGTCCTCAGGGTTTCTTATAGAGGGTTTCTTATAGTAGTTACCCGATAATGCATCCCAGTTCCTTATTTCGGTTATGAGTGCCCATGAAATAGGTTGTTTGGGTATGTAGTTACGCTGCGTGACATGCTTGGTAACCTCTCTAGGGTTGGTGACCTTGGTTTGGGCTTCTTCTTAACAGTCCTTCCACAATCAAAAAGTTTAGGGTCGTGGAGGTCAGCAAGCCGTGTTAAAGAGTTTAGGGTGTTGACAACATTCAACACGACGGTTCGTATAATATACTTATGGGGAGGGGCACCGGTGTTGGACATCAAGTGATCCGTCCTTTCGCTACGGTTTTTCTATAGTACGTGTGCGCATGAACCATCAGGTAGCCCTCCCCCTCTGAACCCACCCCGATTCCTAGAAGCCCACACCCACCTAAACCCTACACCCTAAAC